AGATAGATAGATAGATAGATAGATAGATAGATAGATAGATAGATAGACAGACAGACAGACAGACAGATGGATAACCAATTCTTTGGAGTAGGATTGGTCATAAACTATAATATTGGTTCCCCCCCCAAAGTTGCTATAAGATGTTTCCACTCCACTCAGCACTTTGAAATAAACTTATTTACAACATTGCATGTGGTTTGACTTAAAAGCTCTCTTTTTGGAGATAAATAGTGATACGGTACTAAGTTATTTTTCGAAAAACAGCAACAGTAAACATTCATTATAGTCAATCAATCAAGCGAAATTCAAGGGCACAAATATCATGAAGGCCTGAATAAAAACTAATTATAATATTTCATAAACAACAGTCAATCAACTAGATCAAAGAGATATGGCATTCACCACCCAATATTACTGATTTGTTTATTATTTCAGCTTCTCGGCTCTACCCCATTCAGTTATCAACAATCATTTGTTTATAACTTAGCAGCTCCTCCCCATTCAAGTAATCATCAACCGTTGCATTGAGATCAGGTTTCTCCACCCGGTGCTCTTCAGAAGTGTTAGGAGCTCATCTTCCAGAATAGCCTGGAGAATTGCTTTAGGACAGCAGGTGAGCTGAGAATTCTGGGAATATTCTCAGGGAGTATGAGATTGAGAAGGACGTCCTGCCCTGAGGTGTGTCTCCTCCTGGAGATGAATAGCTGAGCTCTGCTGGTGCACACACAGAGAAGACATTAAGACTGGACCATTGGGTAAAAATCCTGGAGGCTGCTACTCCCCAAATTTTAGTGCTGGTTTCATGGGCTAAAAGCTGTGGCCTTTTGCTTCCTCCATCTGGGGAAATAAAATATTGAGTTCAAATATAATTGAACTCTGGAATTCAGTCGAACACTTTGAAAACTTAAAGAGAGAAGTGAGAGTTTGAGTAGAAACTGGATGGAAGACAAATCAAAAGAGAAATGTAAGACCCACCTGACTTCCTTCAGTACTGACATACTTTGTCAGTACTGGTTGCAACAGGAATTGGCCTATTTTGGAAGATGCCTAAAAAATTTCCCCATTTGTAAGTAAATAATTTGTCTGTCTGTCTGTCTGTCTGTCTTCTGTCTGTCGTGAGATGTTTTATATCAAAATATATTTTAATTCCTTATACTGTTTCCATCTTCCCTTAAAACATTAACAGAATCCACAATGAGCTGAGAATCAAAGAGTCTCCACTAGATAATTGACAGTCAAGCTGAAATTAAATTAATCAAGTAAAAATAGCAAATGTGGAGAAAAACTTCCTCAAGCCACCAAATAAATTACTCAGACCTAATCCCCATATCAAAGGATAAAGTTAATTGAATTAGGTCTTCCAGTAGTACTGCATGTTCACAAGAATACACACACACACACACACACACCTCAAGTAAGTCAGCACATAGACACTTCCACACTCAGGACAAGTTCCTTGATACAACTTTGTTGCTGTATCCCATTTCTCTGCAATTGCTCCTAAAGGCAAACTTTTTGCTTTTGTTATTTGCTTTTAGGAATAAAAAAGGCTTCTTTCCTCACAGCTGTCTAGATCTCGTTTTTATTTTTTTCTTGTGCAACCCTGGCTTGAGTTGGAACCCCAAACTATTCTTCTGACACTGTCTGTCTATGCTGTTTATATTACCTAGTTTGGCAATGAAATATCTGCAAGAAAACAACCAAGTTCAGAGAAGGACAAGGACCCCTTATTTCCACCCTGAGCTACAGATATTATCCTATATCTGTCTATCTAATCTACCTATCTACCTACCTCTATCCTACCTACCTACCTACCTATCCCATCTCACCTATGTACCTACCTACCCTACCTTCCTAAACTATATCCTACCTATTTACCTACTTTACCTACCTACCTACCTATCCTATCTAATCTACCTACCTGTCTATCCTACCTACCTATCTAACCCATCTACCTACCTACCTATCAAAACTATCTAAACCAACTATATCCTATCTGTCTACCTACCTACCTACCTTATCTACCTACCTATCTAAACTATCTAAACCAACTATATCCTACTGATCTAGTTACCTACCTATCTACCTTATCTATCTACTGATCTATCTAAACCAACTATCTTATCTTATCTAAACTATTATTTCCTGGAATTACTGGTGCCTGACTGCTTTTCGGATATGTAGAGAGTGATGAGTTGTTAAGAATCCAAACACCATCAGAATATTATTTGCCAAGACCCGCCCCTTCTGCTGGAGCTAGAGAAATTGCTAAGGACACCCCAGCTATATTCTGGCGAACTCCTTTTATCCCCCTTAGTCTCTCAAAAAAGCCCCATCAAGTTCTCCTTGTACCAAAGAAAGATTCTCCTTGCCAATGTAGTACCAAGCACAGAGAGGGCGAGGAGAATCAAGCGTCTTGCTATCCATTTGGGGCCTTGTAGTGTGGAAGATGAAAGTCCACTAGTGCAAGGTGCAACTGTAATTGGCCTCTGAAGCTCAGCGGCATTTCTGGATATCGGGGAAGCCATGGATATCCTGGAGTTGGATGCCCAACACAAGAGGAAAGTTGCTGGCAACGTAAGAAGCTGTTTCTGTATCTCTTACAATGAAAGAAGAGGGAACTGGGGTACATGATTCCAGGTAGTTACGTATCTGCATGGGATTGTAAGAAGGCTGGGAACCCTTTCTCGTCTCAGGTAGCTTTTCTTCTTCGGCATACCTTTCTGTCAAGGTCTATGGAGATTCTCATCCAGGTCGTGGTTGTCCCCAAAGGTGCTTTTTCAAGAGAACTGGACTTTTTCATTTTTCTTTGAAGACATTTCACTTCTCATCCATATAAATCTTTCCATTCCCCACCATCCAGTCAGAGCTGGAGAAACTTCTTCCATGAGAAGCAAAATATATTCAAAGAAAAAACAAGAAAGTCCAGTTGCCTCTTGAAAAAGCACATTAGGGACTGTCCTTCAAGGAGAACCAGGACATCGGTATCTCTTGGTTTGGACAAGAAAGATCTACCTGAAACTGAGCTCCACATCCAGAGAATGAATGTTGATCCTTGGTGTGCATTTCCTATTCGTCTGGGAGAAACATTTTCTGTTGCCAAAGGCGTTTTTCAGAAAATGGGTGCCAAACAACGCAAGCTTATAGTAGAGAATTCAATTTTAAAACATTACATTGTTTTGCAATTGCAATTTATTGAAGTTAGGTAATTTTGAATTTTAGATTTCCTAGTTTTTTGAAGATGTTCCCCTGTTTCCCCTGTCTTTTCAATAATGTATAGGATGCCCCTGATGTGTTTTGTAAGGCTGAGAAGATCTAGTTATAGATCTAAACTCTAGAGTCCTAAGTATTTTAAGAACATTGTTTCTTGGCTATATTAAAATCCATAATAATAGTTTTATTCAGTGACCATATCTTATTTTGTATTGTTTAAATTGTATTTTTAACTGTAGTTTAAAAAAAATTTTTTTTTTGATGCATTCCATCTAGGATCATTTGTTGAAATGGTCAGGTATAGGAGCAGAGGGAAAAAGTTAATGCAATCCTGTTCTTCAAAATATGATAAAACTAGCTCTGTCACATTTAGACACACACACACACACTGATAAACAGAGCCCATAGTTTTGTCCCAGAGTCCTATTCTCAACAGTGGTTGCTATTTTTATCCTTTGAACAGAATATTCCACTTCCCTGTCCTTCTGACAAATGTCAAGCATGAAAGACCAGGTCCACACAAATCAGTCCAAATTGATTTATTGCGAAATAGCCTATTCTCAGGACTCTTCTCAAGTAGCAAATAGCACTTGCTTGGACTTATTTGTTTGTGGCTATTTAGGGATTCTAGCTGGTCTCCCTTTTAACGCCGCCCCCAGGTTATGCCTATCCCTCTTCTACATTGTGTTGATTAACAGTTTTCTATCATAATAGAGGAGAGAAAATAATATAGCTTCCCATTTCAGGGTAGGGCGTTTGACATTAGGTCTTCTTAAAAGAGTATTTAGCAATAACACTTACTCTGTCCGTTAATTTGGCAATGTCTCTTAGATTGTATCTAGACAAATGTTCGGTCCAAAAATGTAGATTTATTTTATTTAGCTCTATCCAATGTAATGAATTAATAAATTATATAGGAGATGAGTAATTATCATTCTACATTGAAACTGCCTGTGGGGTGCTCATATTCTGTGCTGGCATAATATTATTGCCTCTGAATGATCTAAGTATAAAAAAACATTCTTTAATATATAATCTAGTTATCAGTTATCAGCCCAAGCAGAAAGGTTGAAGTCTGTATGAATCTCAGAACCACTTTCCCAGAGAAGAGATTTACTTACTTACTTAACTTATTTACTTTGTTTAACACATTTATATAGCCACACAACTCATACCCAGTGACTCCAGATGATGACTTGGAAGTCATCATCATCCAGACCCCTAATAATCAAAGATGATTAAAGGGCTGAAGACTAAAACTTAAGAAGAATGGTTATAGGAATTGGATCTGTCTAATCTAGTGAAATTAAGGACCAGGAGTGACATAATAGCAATGTTCTAACATTTGAGGGGCCGAGACAAAGAGGGGGATCAACCTATTTTCCAAAGCATTTGAAGGCAAGACAAGAAACAACGGATGGAAGCTAATTAAGGAGAGAAGCAATCTAGAACTAAGGAGAAACTTCCACACAGTGAGAACAATTAACCAGGGGAGGAACTTGCCTTCAGAAGTTGTGGGTGCTTCATCACCGGAGGTTTTTAAGAAGATACTAGACAGCCACTTGTCTGGAATGGTATAGGGTCTCCTGCTTGAAAAGGGGGTTGGATTAGAACAGGGGCCCTCAATCTGTGGGCCACAGCCTACTAGTGGGTCATGAGGAGTTTGCAATTGGGCCATAAAAATGGCCAGCAAATGCGCATGTATGCATCCTCACTTGTGCGAGCAGCGGGCAAACGCGTGCACATCAGAGGTGGTATTCAGCAGGTTCTAACCTGTTCTGGAGACTGACAAATGCCACCTCTGACTGACCCTGACCCCATCTATTCTCTTCCTCCTGAGTCCCAGCTGATTGGCTGGGTCTCCTTTTGTTGCCCTGCACAGGAGAACGGAGCTGTAAAGCAGGTTAGTGGGGTGGGGAGGGAATGGGAATTTTGCAGTAACTTTCCCCTGCCACGCCCACCAAGCCACACCCACCAAGCCATGCCATGCCCACCAAGCCATGCCCATTGAACCGGTAGTAAATAATTGGAATCGCACCACTGGTGCACATGCACTCCATTTGCGTGATTGGCAGGTGCATATGCATCCTGCTTGTGGAAATGAAGCTGTGCATGCGCGCGTGCACTTGCACGAACCATTCTCCCCCAGCTGATCCGCAGAGCTGGAGACATTGGGGAACGGGAAGACCTCCAAGGTCTCTTCCACCCTTTTTATTCTGTTCTGAATGGATCATAGCTCAAATATACAGTGTGCAAAAGCTCAAGAAGTCCTAGGTTCAATCTGAGACGGCAGTTTTGTCTGAAATTCTATGAAGTTCAGTGAGCTTGTCATAGCTAAAGATCATCCAACTAACTTTAGTATGGATTTTCATCTATTTGACCTGGGTGCAAGCCAACTTTTCCAAGGGGTGTGTGTGTTACTAAACTGCCCCTTGTTCATATATTTCATGGGATAGACAGACCAACCCAAATATTGTTTCCAGGTAACATGCATACTCAAACTCCTTAAAGTAGGAATAAACAGAAACAAAACTATAATAATATAGTAAGAACAATGATTTAAAGTAGCTTAAACTTCTATATTGTTCCTTTCCAAGGAGAAAATGGTGAATCAGGGTGATGGGTGAGAAAGCAGAATTTCTTAGCTCCTCTTTTGGGTTGGACTTCTCTGGAAATAATTGGTTCCCTTAAACCAATTATCAATATGCCACTGGCAGAATAAACGAACTGCTATAAGAAGGGGGTAAAAATTTAGTAAATTTAAGTCTCCTGGGGCAGGTGGATTACATCTCAAAAGCAACTATGGAGATCATCACAGAATCATTGTAATAATCTTTGAGAATTTCTGAAGGACTGATGAGGTCCCAGAAGATTTGGGAAGGTCAAGGCTTATCCCAGTCTTCAAAAAGTGAAAAGGCACAGGCCTGCTAGCTTGAAGACTACACAAGGTGAGGTACTCAAAAGAATGATCAAAAAGGCATCTTTATGGACACGAGTAGGTATGCCACAATTAATAGGAGTCGTCATTTTCAGAAACACTCTGCAGACTAAGTTTATCTCCTTAGAATTTCTAGCTTAGTAGTAAAGTATCAGCTACAATGGAAAATGTCCCCTGTCATTCAAGTCATTGATAAAAATGTTGAACAGAAGCTCTGCCCAATGCTATCCTCCTATTTAAGTGGTGCCATTAAGGAATTCTTTGGATGCGGTCATCCAAATAATTGTGCGTCCATCTAACAGTGGTAGCATCATCTATCCCATATTTTACAATTCTATTGAGGAAAATGTCACAAGATACTTACACTTTACTGAGGCCCATACGGACTCTGTCCACAAACTTCTACTGATCTACTAAGCTAGAAATTTATTTAGAATCATTTGGGTATTTGGTAACATTTAGAAATATTACAGGATCCAATTTGGGTCAATCAAACTGCAACATTATCCTGGAACATATATAATTGCTTTCATTTCGTTAGAAATATTTACCACCACAGAACTGATTTTTCCTTCTGAATGGTGATGATCAGAATTCTATCCAAGGAAGATGGGAGGTTTAGAAATATGAATTAAAAATAAATAACCTTCGGTCATCAGATAAAATCACAATCCTTTTCCTAGATGCTTCCATATTAAGAAGCAAATTAGATAACTACAATTGACAAGGCTTTCTCTGTAATGGCACCTAAGGTGGAATTCATTTGGGCAAATTAGATGTGAATGTTTTTATTTTGGATTAACTTAAGTAGTGTGATGAGTGCAATGTTTTTTTCTCATGGTGTTAATTGTTCATCTACCCTGTTTCTCCAACAATACGGCCTCCCCCAATAGGAAGTCCCAGCATGTTTTATAGGCATGTAATGAAATTAAGCCCCTCCCCCCAAATTAAGGCCTATATTAAAACATACGAAATGGGGGGGAATGGTGCGGGGGCTTGCCGTTAGGAAGTACTTTTGTTGTACACCCGGATATGGTGCTGCCTGCGTTGACCCCGATACGAAGTGCCCCACCAACGCCAAGGTCAACATCCAAGCTGTCGCCACCCGCCCACCCAAAGATGCAAGGGGGGGGGAATTAAGTCACCCCCAAAAAGACAGCCTAGCCATTTTTTCAGGGCTCAAAAAAAAAAAAAAAGACCCGGCCTTATTATATGAGAAACACGGTAGCAGCCTACACTAATTAAAACTTATATTTAATTTTACCAGTTATCCAAATGATTCTGAAATAACAATAATGGGTACAAATCCTATAATTACTGCAATTGTAAGCCTGATTAAGATAAATAACATTATATGTAATGGTATCATATTCGTCAATTAATTGAGTTGCCCTTTCCGCTTGCTTATTAGCATGTTTGAGTAGAAGCTTCCAAATGCTAGTACAACTGAACCAGTACAACCAGCACAACTGGCCCATTCACTTGACTTTTCTTTAAAAATTTGTGAATACCCAGAATAATGGGTGTGGCATAATTTAGGGCAAGGTATTTTGAAATTCCACATAGCTAGCTGGAAAAACATAGTGGAAGAGAAAAAGAGAAGAGAGGGAATAATGAATAAGATTAATTATTAAGTAATAGTAAGAACAATCTTTGTAAAGCATTATGAAATATAATGATGTCAACAGTGTTCCATGTAGGACTGAACTCAAATCAGTCACAAAACCCCCAGTTTTGGGGTATCAATTTGGCATTGCTCAGTTTTGATCTCTTTCTAGTCCACAGGAAATGATAGATAAAAGTCAAGATGGCAAAAGGATAATGTGATCAAAGGCCACCCATTTGGATGTGGGTCACAGTGTGCGTTACAAACAGGCGACGTTCTGATCGCACTGTTGTAGCTTCCATCCTGATGCTTTTTTAACCATGCACTGCAGACATTCCTGATTCCAGGGAAGCAAATCGAGAATGCAACGAAACAGTACGTGGTTGGGTTTTTTTAAAAAACATTTCTTCTTTCTTCTCCCTCTTCCCATTTGTCCTATCCTAGAGGAGAACCATGCTGCTTAGGCTCCTGCCATTTGTGGTCTCCAGCTCCGTCTACTTCATTCTTTTGCTCCCTGAGCCCAGCTTGAAGAGCACTATCATAAAGTGCCTCCCCACGTTCTTCCTGGCGTTCTTTGTAGCCACTCAGTCCAAAAATGGAGGTGTCTTCAAGCCGTATTCCCGGTGGATTTTCCATGGTCTCTTGTTCGCATGTTTGGGAGATGCCTGCTTGGTATGGCCAGAGTTCTTCCTTGCAGGTATGGTGTTTGAAGGTTTATGACACTGTCGGGGAAGTAGCTAGGATAAAACTTGGGGCTGGTTTTAATCAATTCAGTAGCTTAATCAACCAATCGGGATGGCCCTTTGCATGGGTATGATTCCTTATCTCCCAACACTTGTAAATGAGAAGTAAGCACGTTTATAGTATTGCGTCATAGTTTATGAGCCAGATGTTTAGACTGGATTTGGTATTTTATCCAGCTGTGGTTGTTATATTCATTTATTACTCGCTTTGTGATGATTGTCTGCTCTTTTTCATCCTACCTGTTGCTTGAACGATCTCCCTCAGAGATGGACAACCTGTGGTCTGTAGATACACTGTTGCTGACCTATAGATTTCAGCACCTTTCCCCATAGTCCCTACTGATCATTGGGAACTGCAATTCAATAACATCTGGAAAACCATCATTCCTGCATACTGATTGATGCTGGTGTTTTTAGATGTGTCTATCTGTGCACTTATACATAATTTTTATGTATGTTAGCATTGTTGTCAAAGTTGTCAAAGACAGCCCGGAGCATAACTGTTCAGCCTCAAGGCCTGGATCTATAGAGGGAACAGCTAGAGTACACACAGTAAAGTGTTTTTTCTCTAATCCATGATCTGGCAGAAAAGATATACTGGCATAAATACAGCCAATTTAGTCTAGTGATTAAGGTGCTGGCCAAGAAACCAGGAGCCTGGGAATTCTAGTCCTGCCTTAGGCATGAAAGCCAGCTGGTTGCGGGGACTTTGGGCCAGTCACTCTCTCCCTCAACCCAACCACTCTCAAAGGTATGGAGGAAGAAGGAATATTAGGTATGCCTTTAGTTTTATATATATATATATATATATATATATTGAAAGAGCAGGATAAAAATCTAATAAATTATGCTTCCTTCATTGCCATTTTTATCTTGGTAATTAGGACAGTAATTAAAACTGTTTTTAATGCACGACAAGTTAAGCCAAGAATTGTGGGATTTCCCTGGTTTCACTTCCCTGCTCAAAGGGAAAACTGTCGCCTATCACTCTCCTTAATGTGGGGGTGAAGTAGGGCTAGATAAATTAATCTGAAGGCTTAGCCAGCTTAACTACCTGTCAAATTCCCCAACTAACAGATTGCAAGTGGGGAGTTGTTCCACCCCATTACCTGTCCATTGGGCCATTCCTGAATGTGGGTTTAGTGCTTTTCTCAAAGTGCATTAAACACAGGTCCTAAATCAACCTGACTAAGCAGGTCATAGATCTGGAGGAGGAAGCAATCAATGAATAGCAAGCATCATCATTAACTATTGCAAACAAACGCACAGCTGTACTTTGGCAGACTGCACGTAGCTGTGCTTAGACACAATGGCAACCCCGCCCCCCACCACAATTCCACAAAGTGATGAATAGAACAAAAGCTCTAATGTGGCCCATTGAAGATCCTGTTTGAAGGGGGCGGGGGGAATCTAATGCGCTCACTGGGGACAGAAATCCAGAAATGGCAGAATGCACATTTCTTTTCCAGTTTGAAGTGACTTTCCATGCAGCACAGGACCAATGTTCTCTCAAACGCATAAATCCTGATTTTTAAACACAGTTGTAGCATGTAGACTGTGCTATGTAAGATGCCCACCTGACAGATGCTTTGAGAAATGGTGGACAGGCATAATGGGGGCAGAGGTCTCTGGGGAAGCCAGGATGCCTGGTCTCTCCTGCTAGCTAAACCATGGAGGCTAGTGCATAGGGAAGGAGCACATCTGCAGGAGCCCGAAGGTTGCCAAAGCAGCTGGACAGGTTCCAACTCTTGAACACATCGTCAACAACTTCCTTAGGGAAGCGTGTCTAGACAATTTCCAGAGCAACAGCTGTGTTGTGTTGGAAGTTGATGAGAAATACCATTTTAAAATAAGAAAGCTAAAGATGGCTGCAAGTAGCTCAGAAGTGGGATAGGGATGAAATTACTGAGGAGCAGAAAAGCCAATACAGGGAGTCCTTGACTGTTCATTTAGCAACCATTCGAAGTTACAGCAGCACTGAGAAAAGTGACTTACGACCATTTTTCACACTCACAACCATTGCAGTATCTCCATGGTCAAATTCTGAACACTTCACAACTGGCTTGTATTTATGACATTTTCAGTGTCCCGAAGTCATGTGTCCCCTTTTGCAACCTTCTGGCAAGCAAAGACAATGGAGGAAGCCAGGTTCACTTAACAACCAGGTTACTAACTTAACGCCGGCAGGGATTCACCTAACAACTATAGCAAGCAAGGTCATAAAATGGGGCAAAATTCATTTAACGTCTTCAGGGGTGGGCTGCTGGGGGTTCGCGGGGGTTTGGGAGAGCCCCTAGCTAAAATTCTGTGTAGTTAGGAGAACCCCCAAATCCCACTCCTGTCTGGCCCCGCCCACCCCACCCCACCCATCCCAGAAATCCCCCCACACGGCCCGTTTTGGATGCAGGTAAGTGCAGGGGGGCACGGAGGCGCAGGGAGGCTGAAAAACAGGCCTCCTGGAAGTTTGCGAAGGCCGGAAATGGGCCTGTTTCTTGCTTCCAGAGAGCCTCTGGAGCCCGGGGGGGCGTTTTCGCCCTCCCAGAAGCTGAAGAAAGCCTCCGGAGCCCAGGGAGGGGAACCCCCCCCCCACTGTGGTGCAGGAGGCCAACTAAACCACGACCACCAAGGAACTGGGCAGAGAGCCCTTTACTAAAATTTTGGAAGCCATCCCCTGGATGTCTTGGCAATGGAAAGTTTGGACTCGGTTGCTGTCGTAAGTCAAGGACTACCTGTAATTTGCATTTTGTCATGTCTAACACCAATTCCTGTCACAAGAGGGAGCCAGCTAAATGCATATCACAAGTGCCACGAGAAGGAATCAAAATTTAAAGATATATTTATTGCAACACAGAATCCCCATGAACGAGTAGGCGGTTATATAAATTTTCCAAAATAAATAAATAAATACAACTTCTGGGAGGAAATATGGAAAATGGCAATGCCCAGAATGGGTTTGAATAGTTGTGTATCTCTTGGTTGTTCCTTACAATCACGTAAAACAGAAAGACAACGTTAATACAGTAGCACATCTATTCCAGCTCTCTCAATTTGAGGCTTGATTGTCTTTGGAGTGGCTGACAATTATGGGTCCTGGGATCTGGCACAGCTGGAAAGGCTGATCACATTCTTGCAGAAACAAGCAGGGGGTCTTATACCTTGAGAAATCCCAGTCTGTGGATTGAGAAATCACCTCACCTATCCAAGTTTTTTTAAAACAAAATTATGTACATAGAGATAAACACTGTACATGAATTTCATCTATTGAAAACATGGTAAAGCCAGGCCGCTTTCCAATAGATTTGAGGAGCACATCAAGGGTACGTTCTGATGAACGCTTTTAATACTTCAAATGCAGTTTATGGGTTTCAACCTGATGCCTGCTGCTAAACTCTCTGCCCCGCCTGATGTTAAAAGGATAGACGTGGTCCTCAGCTTACGTCTACAACTGTGAACTTCCATCACTAAGCGATACAGTCATTCAGTTGCCCCTGATTTTACAACTTTTGTGTCACAATTGATAAGCAACTGACTCACAGTCCCTAAGCATATCTGGATTCCCCCATTGCATTTGTTTGAAAGAAGCCCCTTGGAAGGGTCACAAATGGCAACTAGACGGCCCTGAGACGTGGCAACTGTCATTAATACATGCTAGTTGCAAATTAACCTGAACTAGAAGACATACAAGGTCCCTTCCAACTGTTATTCTGTTCTATTAAATCACTAGAATTTGTAATCACATGACTGCAGGGATGCTATGATGGTTGTAAATCTGAGTCACTGGTTGTAAGTCCAAAACCTTATTGTAAGTCATTAGCATCATTAACAGTTGTTAAATGAATGGTCATAAGTCGAGGACTACCTGTACTGTTAAAAGCATTTCTACACCTAAAATATCATCTTTATTTCCAAGAATATCTCTGAACAGTCTTAGAAATAAATATGGCAGCTGGGCTGCAGTCTAGTTCTTTGGAAACGTGCCTCCTGGCCAGTGATGGGATTCAAACAATTTTTTACTACCGGTTCTTTGGGCATGGCTGGGTGGGCGTAGTGTGACTTGGTGGGTGTGGCTTAGTGGGCATGGCAGGGGAAGAATAATGTAAAATCCCATTGCCTCCCCACCCCACTTAGCCTGCTTTCCAGCTGCGTTCTCCTGTGCAGGGCAACAAAAGAAGAGCCAGCTAATCAGCTGGGACTCGGGAGGCAGAGAATAGATGGGGGCAGAACCAGTCAGAGGTGGTATTTGTGGGTTCTCTGAACTACTCAACATTTCCGCTACCGGTTTTCCTGAACCGGTCAGAACCTGCCGAACACCATCTCTGCCCCTGGCCAACCCCACCCTTAAAATATTAACAAGGTAAACTGAGGGTTTAAAAAGGTCACAAGGAGCTTCCGTTGGTCAAAAAATGAATGCAAATGAAAGAAGAGGCGATCGGCTTATGATTTTACCACAATACTCCATTTTTTCAGGGAGCTTTCATTCAAGGGGGAAGGAGAAACTGAGATGCCAAAACACATGTAATAACACAACCTTCAAAAAACAGGCAGCCTGTGTCATGTTCTTCCTTTCTGGAGCATGCATTAGAGAGTAAGGCATTAAATATTTATCAGGAATAAACATAGCTACCTTTTAGCCCTTGCCGTGCCTGTATCTTTTCTTTCCCGGTTGAAAAGAGCACTTAGCTACCAACAGAAGAGACAGAAGGTAGACAATAGTCCAGAGCTGAATGAGGCAATTTTGTAGGTCATATTCAGAATGCCTTTTCTTGGCTTAGCAAGCTGCAATTATAGAATAATCTGAAGTCCTAAACCAGAGAAGGCTGCCAGAATGACTGAACTGCCGGTGGCTGATCTTGATGCAGCAATGCAGCCCATGTGGCTGTTGTGGTTATACGTTTGCCTTTTCTCCCCTTACAGGAATGGGTGCCTTTGCCATCTGCCACATCTGCTACATCGCAGCCTTTGGCCTGGCTCCCCTTCAACCTCTCACCCTCCTGGTCATCCTGGGACTCGTGGCTGTGAGTTATGTGGTGATCCTACTGCCCTGTTTGCCAGGTTTCTACACGTGGGCAGTGCTGTTTTATTCAGGCCTTCTCGGCGTCATGACCTGGCGTGCCCTGTCTTGCTCCAAAGGGCTGGCTTTAGCGGGCAGCTTGATCTTCATCACATCTGATCTGTTGGTTGCCTATGACAAGTTCTGCACCTCCCATCCTCTTGCCCGCATCCTGTACATGAGCACTTACTACCTGAGCCAAACCTTGATTGCCCTCTCAACAAGCACTCCGAAATTTTCCCGAAAGGAGAACTGAGTCTTGAATTAGACTTCCGGGTTGTCCTTCAGCATCAAAAGTGCCCCAGTCATTCTGCCTCTCAAATTCGCCCTTCTCAAGTTCAACTAACTTCTGGATGGGTTGAAACTACAACTCCTAGGATTGCCAGCTAGTTTGGGCCAACAACTGGGAGTAATTGGCAGCAGCTACACCCATAATCCCCAGCCAGTACGGACTCTGTGGATTCTCAAAAATTGTAGGCTTCTATTCATGGAGGCCACCACGTTGGAAGAAGCCCTGATCAGCTTTCTTTCAGAAGTTCTGAGTCCAGACAGTTCAAAGAACAGCTGATGCGTCCTCCACATTTCCCATCTTCACAATTTTCTTCCGAGGAGTGATGATGTTGATAATATAATAATAAAAGGACTAATGACAAAATATTATGAAGTATTTATTTTATTTAAGGGACATGTTTGCTAAAAAAAATAAAATACAAAGACCTGTTTTGTTTGCCTAATTAAAGCAGCCCAGGTAGTTGGCTGCCTTTTGTGAATAGAAGACAGGTCTGGTTGTGCATTTCCTTCTCCTGGTCAGAATTAACTTTCAGGGCTGTCTTCCTCAGGCTTGGACCTTCTACTATCCATTCAAATACCTCTCAAACGACCCTTCTTTCCCATGAAGTTATTTCTTGAAAACCTTTGTATTTTGCTTGGGGATCCAACAATGGTCCAATGTGGCCTCCAGGTGAGTTTCTCCATTCCAAGTGGTCTCTCTGCCATATGGACCTTCTTCTCCTCGTGTGTCAAACTGAGCTGTCCATATTGGCCCCTTCACTTTTACAGGACAGGTTCCACTAGTGAGCTATTTAGATTGATGGGAAGGCAGGGATGGGATTCTACCGGTTCGGTCTGGTTCTATAGAACTGGTAGCTCTGAAGAATAGCTGACACCGAACCGATTTACTGAGATGATCTACGGTCTTCTGTTTGGCCCACCCGCCCTCCTGGGCTCTAGGCTGTCCTTTATTCCCTGCTTTTTCCTCCTCAGCTGCTTTGCTTGGCACAGCTGAGTGTAGCTCGTCAGCTGGAGAAGGTGAATACTTGCCAGAGCTGGTAACTTGTAAGTACTGCATGTGCACGCGCAAAGCACACGCTCCCCGGACCAGTTGTTATGTCGGTAGGATTCCACTTCCTATGGGAAGGGCATGCAATGGCAGAAGACAGAATGGGGTTAGGAAAGTGATAGAAAAAGAAGCCAATTACAGAGTTACAAGGATGGCATAGAAAGCCACTTTTCAGTTCAGGTAACTGCATTTGGCCAAGCTTGGTAAACCAAGGGGAAACTAAAGCAGCATGGACTTTGGACTTTGATGATAGATCCCTAGGAAATCCAAGGTTGTAAGTTCAACTGGAAAGATGCCAAATTCTGCCAGAAGATAACAAAGGCAAGCTGACCATCCGTCCATCCATTGGTCATCCTTCTAGACTGCCTACTCAGATTCAGGGCATTTAGCAATGTGTGAAATTCTTAAAACATTTATTTGAAAAAAACAAAGATCCAGAACTGATGTCAGGGCATTACTACCTGCTCCTACATTAATTGAAAAAGTTTTTAGATGTTTTCTGGTGCCACCATGATGGGAGCAGGAGATTGACTGGAAGAAACTACATCTCCAGTTCCCCTCCTTTGATATCATAGCCCACATTGGGGGTGGGGGGTGATTTTTAACCAGCTCTCCCGGATTTCGCGCACCAGAAGGCTAATCTCTTTCTGAAATAGGTTGCCTTGCAAATGCCTAGGTGCCAAGTGCAAGTCTTTAGAGGTGAAAAAGCAGCATGGGGGACATGCACATATTGCATTTTGGGGGTGCATGTGTGCGCACCCACAACTTCTGAAGGCAAGTTGTTCCACTGGTTGATTGTTCTCACTGTCAGGAAATGTCTCCTTAGTTCTAGGATCTCTCTTTCATAATCTTCCATCCATTACTTCTGCCCTCAGGTGCTTTGGAAAAGAATAGGTTGCTTCCCTCTTCTCTGTGACAGACCCCTTTTTATAGAGAAGGCTGAAAAAGTGGGGGGAGAAAAGCCCATCCCCTCATCATAAAAAGGCTGAAAAGTTGTGGGAGCGCCATCACTTGAGACTTTCAAGAAGAGATTGGACTGCCATCTGTCAGAAATGGTTAGGGTCTCCCGCTTGGGCGGGGTGTTGGACTAGATGACCTATAAGGTCCCTTCCAACTCTGATTATCTGTTATCTGTTAAATCTGAAAAGAAGAAGCTAGAACTGACCTCCCTTTCTGAAGGATTTTTCTGTGGATATTCTACTTAATTTTTCTTCCATTTTTTGACTCATCCTTTCCTACTATATATGGGGAAAATTAATTTCATTTGCATTTCAATGTAAATGTAATTCAATTCATTTTGGAGCCAACACACTCACAGAGATCATTATTTGTATCCTCAGCTCTCTGAAGTTTGCAACGTGGCTTACTCATGTTTTTAAAATGTAAAATTAGAGTGAGGGGAACCTTTGTTGTTTTTTCTCCTCTTTCACAATATCTCTATCTTTTTTCTCTCCGTTGCTTTATTCTCCTTTTTGTGTCCACTTAGAAAGTATAGCAGGTTTAGGGAGGGCAAATCTCTATTGTGTTTTTATGTATATATGAGCTAGTTGTGAATGAGTCCTAGAGAATAGAGGATGTGTGGATGTTGGTGTCTTTATGTACAGAAAGATTGGACAATGGAATCTGGGGTATTTTACATAGTAATGATTCATACTAAACTGTGGGTTTCAAGTATGGTTCAAACAATGCTAAACAAACAAGGTCTGGGATAAAGAAAGAGAAAATATGCCAATACAAAAATTATTAAATGCAACTCTCTATTAATGAATGGAAGGACTTTATATGGCAAGGAAAAATCAGAAAGAATGGGAACAGGAATCAAGTGGAGTTTACTAAAATAAAGGCGACAGAAGATTGCAAATATATTTATACATACATACATACATACATACATACATACATACATGCATACACACATACACACATATACACATACGAAAAACAGAGTTGGAAAGGACCTTGAAGGTCTTTGAATCCAACCCCTACTCAAGCGGGAAACCCTATACCATTCCAGACAAATCTCTGTCCAATCTCTTCTTAAAAACCTCCAGGGTTGGAACAGCCACAATTTCTGGAGGCATGTCATTCCATTAATTAATTGTTCTAATTATTAGGAAATTCCTCCTTATTTCTAAGTTGGTTCTCTCCTTAAGTAGTTTCCATCTATTGCTTCTTGTCCTGTCTTCAGATCCTTTGGAGAATAATTTGATTCCCTCTTCTTTGTGACAGCCCCTTAGATATTTGGAATGATGCTATCATGTCACCCCTTAGTCCATCTTTTCATTAAACTACACATAACCAATTCCTGCAACCATTCTTCATATGTTTTAGCCTTTATACAGTAGCTGTTGTAAATAAACTCAAGTTAATTTAGCTTAATGGAAAGTAGGTCCTGTTTACAAAGGACAAACAAGGCTAGTACATTATAATTGTGCAGCACAATGGAAGTCTTTGTTCCTTCTCATGTGTACAGAGCTAGATATGTAGCTGCCAGGGAGGAGGAATCATGAATGCAGACTGTGACAGTTCAGTTTCCCTTTGTTGAGCCCTTATCATGGCTTTCTCCAACCTGGTGTCCTCTGGATGTGTTGAAGCAACATCAACCAGAATTCCCAGCTGTTAGCCATGCTAGCGGAGAACTCCCAGAATAGGGAAAGCTTGCTGGAAGAACTTTGAAGAAACTTGTACATTTTCAGGTTTTCTCAAAGACTTTCTTTAATTCAAGGGTGCCAATAAATGTTGGAGTTTGGGTGAAGGTACATTAAAGTTGATCTTCTCCAATCTTGAGTTAACTTATTAGGTCTGTTCTTTTCTCAAAAAGCTTTTTAAAAATGTAGGGCTCCATAAATGTTTAAAAAAAACAACCCTCAAAGCAAAGAGAACCTGCATATGATTCCAAAGCAACTTTCTCCAGTCTAGAGGTTCTCTGAAAGATACGATTCCTGTTCTCTTCATTCTCAGTTGACTGGCCTCGGAAGAGCAAGACTATTCTAATCCCAAACAAAAGGGATCGGGAGTTGTGGGAATTAGGAGAAAACAACACTGTTTGGAATGGGGAGGTGATGATTTTCACCACCTTGTGGACTGCATGAAACCTTTGAAAGTAGGCAAGTGGGATAGATCATAAATTGGGTGAAGATGGTGGGTTCAGGTCACACATGCATGAACTCACCCACACAGAATCCCATGAATTCATCCAGTATTTGCCTTTCCCCAACATGTATTGAGATGGCAGGTGAGGAGGGTAGCAAAGTTAATACCTTTTCTCAGCCTGTTTATGGTGTGCCAGGAGAATGGATCTCCTTTCTCCCTGAGGCCTCACCTAGAGTGTGGGAGCTGCCCACAGCTCCAATTTGCATTGGGCAAAAATGCTTCCATTGGTGCTGTTTCCAATCAAAGGGGCGGGACTTCATTTGGCCAAAAAGATAACTGTACGTGTGGGTTTATTTTCCAGGCAGACAACTTCCTCCTGTGGGTGGGGGGAAAAGGAAGGGGAAAGGACCTGAAGATATCAAGAGCTTGGCAAATTACCAAGATCAACTAGAAGTTGCAGGTTGTCGGGATGTGGGCTCTGGGACTTTTCTACCCTGGGAATTACCTGTCTGATGGAATCTAGTTTTCTTCATCTGGGAGGAAGCTGGCGCTCCCTGGTGCTGGTAAGTGAATGAAAAACAAGCGAACTCAAAACCACCTGCTCTTTGGTATGCATTGTATCTTGGATTATTGTATCAAAAGTAATCTACTTCATACTTAAAGCAACTGGATCTCTACATTTAAGGCCAGCACCAGGAGTTGGGAATCGCTGGGCATTCTCCCACACCCCACGCTCTCATTGGGCATCTCCTGGCTGGGCTACTCATCCTCTTCCATTGCTGGCATTGCAGAAGGCAGGTAAAATTAGAACAGAAGAACCTGTGCGTCCATCCTTCTTCCTTAAAGTGATACCCAGCCAGCCTTTAAGAAGAAGGTTGAGTTCCCAACTAGTCATGTAGGGAGTTATTTCCTGTTTCTGCAATTTTCAAATCCAGTTCTCTCCACTTCTGCATTGCTTTGACTTTTTTTACACCAGGATCTTCATAATTCACACCTTTGCTTTCATGCTTTCCTAGTGGGTGATTCTGTGCAAAAATATGATGATGATGATGATGATTTTGCAAGCAATTAAAACAAGATTTAATGGGTTTTTTGCACATGGGCACATTTGTGAATGTCCATTTCTCCAATGTATACAGGTAGTTCTCGACTTACAACAGTTCACTTAGTGACTGTTCAAAGTTACAACA